CGGCCCCGCGCCCGGTCCGAACTACCGACCCCATAATGCTCCGCGGCCGGGGCGCAAACGCCGGGCGCGGGCCGGTGCGTCGCGTCGTACGTGCGGCTGTCGGCGGGAGCCTCGGCGCGTTGGCGCCTTCCGCGGGGTTCCGGGGCTGCGTTGGGCGAGTCCCGGGGTCGTCCAGAGAAGAGCTGTCTGACTGGACGCCTTTGTTTTTCCCGACATGAGAACGTGAGCGTGGGGTGGCTGCTTTGTGGCTGTGGCGACCCTTCCCGGGGTGACGGAAGGGACGCACTTGGGACACGGCGCCCGCGGAAGTCTGTCCAATGTGCCTGCGGACCGAGACCCCAGGTTGGGAACCCCCGCCTCAGACGTCTGCGCTTTGTGGTGTCGAGCCTGCGTTGCACCGCGAGGGTCCCTTGCAGAGCCCTACTGCTCTTGGCGACCAGCAAGGACTGTCACTGCACTTAACGGAGTCCTCCTTTCTTCTGAACCTTTGAGGTTTTCTGCTGACGAGACCAGTGTCAGGCACGGATAGGGTGAGGGTGGATGGATGGAGAGGGAGGCGCCAGGGCGCAGCACCGCCGGAGCCGGCGTGCCCGAGGTGTTGCGCGCTGGCAACCCGGAGATCCGAGCAATGCGAAGAATTGCAGCACGCAAAGAGGTGAAGGAAGATAAGATTTATTTAAGAAAAGTTCGCACCCCACAGACAGGGAGCGGGCCTACACTCTGGGTGAGTGTGGCACCGTAGCCCCCCGAGTCCTGGCTTAAATCCTTTCCCCTGGAGATGTTGCAGTCAGGTAGACGTGACTGCCGTGACTTCCTTGTCGACCACCTGTGGATATTTTGGAGATCCTGTGACAGAGACCCATTGATTTCCGCCCACATTACTGTAGCCTCTAGAGAAGGGTGTGACAAGGATTCTAATGCCCCTGCACCTTCCCGAATGACATTCCTTAGAGCTAATGGAGGGTGCACTTCCCCTTATTTCCTAGACATTCCCAGTGGATGACTCCGGGGGATCCTTGGCTTCCCTGTAGATAGTGCCCAATTTACCATAAGATTGAATCCCTGCCTGCTCCCCCTCTGAGCGGTCATAACTTTTGCAATTACAAGTTTCATGACTTCTACTATCCTTGCCCAAAGCATGATGTCTTAGGCCTTTGCAAATTCCCTTTACTCTAGGCGAGCTTGATTGCCACTATGAGATACCTTTGATACCTGGAAGTCTGTGTTTCTGAAAAGACATAGTCGGCAAGGTTAATTTTTCCTAAAATATGCATTTTTCTAAAACATAGCTTCTACTTTCTCACCATTGTGTCAGTGTTTAAGAACAAGATGAAAAATGGCTTCCCACTCTCCGTCTGTCCTTTCAAAGAGTAAGAAATGAGGAGTTCTTGTTCCTCTCATTGTGCCAGTGAAGAAGCGACTGCTGACCCCTGGAAGTCCGTAAAAACATGTGAGCTTTGTTTTTCTCGTCCTTGTTGGTAACGTCCCGTCTGTCTGCTCAGAGACTCATCTTCAAACTGAGACCACCTTTGTGAAAACCTATTGTAAAGTTAAGGCCAGCACGGTGCTCACACGTGTAATCCCAGGACTTTGGGAAGCCCAGCAGAGAGGGTTGCTCGAGACTAGCCTAGGCAATACAGTGAGATCTTGGGTCTACAAAAAATAAAAAATAGGCTGAGCCTGGTGGCACATGCCTGTAGTCCCATCTACTAGGCAGGCGGATGCAGAAGGATCGCCCTGAACCCAAGAGATTGAGGCTGCAGAGCTGTGATTGTGCCACTGCACTCCAGTCTGGATGATAGTGAGATTCCAACAAAGCTCCTTTGTAAGATTAATTGTAAGGTCATACAGTTACATTTGTTATGAGATTCTAAATTTTAGCCAGGCACCACGTGGCTCGTGCCTGTAATCCCAGCACTTTGGGCAGTAGAGGCAAGAGGATTACTTTAGCTCAGGAGTTCAAGACAAGCCTGAGCAACATGGTGAGACCTCATCTCTACAATAAGTCAAAAAATTAGCCAGGCATGACAGCTAATGTGACTCCAGCTACTTGGAAGGCTGAGGCAGAAGGATCCCCTGAGCCTAGCAGGTAAAGGCAGTGGTGACCGTGAGCATGCCACTGCAATCCAGCCTGGGCGACAGAGTGAGACTCTGACGCAAAAAAACCCAAAAGATTCTAAATTTTGTATGTTCCTAGACCTTTTCTTTCTTCTGCATGATTCTCTTCATGGAGTGGGGGGGTGCTGCCCTCAAGATTGATGAGCTTATTTTCTCTTAAAAAACAGTGAGCCCAGTCGGGCTCGGTGGCTCAGCCTGTAATCCCGCACCTTTGGGAGGCTGAGGTGAGTGGATTGCCTGAGCCCGTGGGTTTGAGACCCACCTAGGCAGTGAGACCTCATCTCTACAATAAATCAAAAAATCAGCCGGGCGTGGTAGCGCGTGCCTGTAATTCCAGCTACTCTGAAGATTGAGGCAGAAGGATGGCGGGAGCCCAGGAGGCGAGGCTGCGGTAGCCGGGAGCGGCCACTGCACTCCAGTCTGGGCGACCAAGTGAGACTCCAACTCAAAAAAAAACAAAAAACAGTGAGCCCTTAGGTCAAGCAGACCTTGGCCTCCAGAAGTTGGATTAGCCAAAGGGTGTGAACAGCTTTGATAACTAGGGATCTCCCCTCCTGCATACCTTTCATAGTCTAATGATATCCAGCCATTGTTCCCTGATTGCTTAGACTCTGGAGTCACATAACCCCTGAACCACAGAACCAGTGGTCACAAGATTTGTAAAGTCCCCAATTGATCCTGTAGATAACAAAAGCCTAAGACTAGTCCTTGAGATCATTTTCAGACTGGACCTTCTAAGGAGCAGACCACAGCACCCATGACGCAGACCGAGGAAATGACTCAGCTGGTCCCATAACAGCAACTGCAGCCACTCACCTGGAACAGGGATGAAGACACTCAGAACAGGCGCTGGAGACTGAGAGGAGAATTGAAGGTGTTTATTCCAGAAGTCTCAGGTGAGGTAGCCTCCCAAAACCTGAGCCCCCAACCCTCAATTTCAAGCTGCTTTTATAGAGCTCTTTGGTTACAACATACATGGGTTTGCCGTTGGTGGGTTTGCAATTTTAAATTCAAAACCCAGAACGGTTACTTCTACTTCTACAACAAGCATTGAAGCAGACATTTTTATGGACACTTCTACATGAGGTGTAATAAAGTGTGTTTACAGAAACAGATTGCAGTTAAGGAAAATGGCATGTAGCTGCTTGTTTACAGCATATTTACAGAAACAGAGATGGCAAGCAGTTGCTTACTTAAGATAAAACCCTTGAAGTCAACTTTCCTGCTTAATTCCTGTTTTTCTGTCTCAGTCCTGTGACCCCCACCCCCTCCTAGGAACTGACCCCAGCCCCCAGGAAGACATTTTCTGCACCTCTATGAATTTATCTCCAACTGATCAGCAGTCCTAGTTCCCTCCCCTGCCCGCCAAATTATCCTTAAAAACCCAAGCCTCTGAGTTCCCAGGGTGGCAGATTTGAGAAGTATTGCCAGTCCTCCTGCTTAGCTGCCCTGTGACTAACTATTTTTCTTCTTCAGCAGCTGTTCTCTCAGTGTATTGGCTTTTCTGTGCAGTGGGCTTAAAGAACTCAGTCAAGCTGTAACTCCACAACCCTGAACCCCAATCCTAGTTGGGTTGTCTACTCTTCTGTGCTCTCAATCACCTACACCTTCTTCTGTCGTAGCCATCTTGCTTTGTGCTCTTCTCAAAAGACTGTAAGTCTTGACCAGCCTGTAATTCTAGCACTTTGGGAGGTCAAGGTAGGAGGATCACTTGAGCCCAGGAGTTTGAGACCAAACCAGGTAAAAGCAATACAGTGAGACCTTGTCTCTACAAAAAAATCAAAAAATTAGCTGGACAAGGTGGCTGTAGTCCCAACTGCTTGGGAGTCTGAGGCAGAAGGATCACCTGAGCCTAGGAGGTCAAGGTTTTGGTGAGCTGTGATCATGCCACTCCACTCCAGCCTGGGTGGCAGAGTGAAATTCTGATTAAAAAAATAAAAAAATACAAGCCCTTTGATGGCAGAGACTATTGTTCATAGAATGGACCACACCTGGCTCACTGTTCTGGGGTGACCAGTGTTCTACAGAGGTCCACCTCTCTGTGCCTCTTTGTTTTCTCCTTCTTTCTTTTCTTTTCTCCATTGCATTTGTCTCTCCATTTCTGATCCCCTTTTAATTCTTAGGCTGCAAATGATGTCCAGTGAGTCTCACGGCCATTCTGAACTCCCACTGACAGTCCCTAAGGGTGAAGACTATGCTGATACTTGGGATAGTATGAGCATCGTGTTCCAGTGACACTTTCCATTTGCATAATTATTGATAATAATGCCAGGTGCCATGCTAAATGCTTTGCAAACGTTATCGCATTTAATCCTAAAGACATCGCATTTAATCCTACTATCATCACCATTGGCATGAAAACATCCTCACTTACTCATGGTCCTGCTACTTGTAAGTGAAGCTGGTATATAAGTCTTCAAGGATTCTAGGAACAAACCTTAAACTAATAGAAGCACCTCTGTGGGGACTTACTAATTGTCCCACTCCACCCCCGATATAGCCTGAACTTTGAATAAACCACACAGGTAATGCCCTTTCTCTTTAAAGTCATAAATATGCCGGGCTCGGTGGCTCAGCCTGTAATCCTGTGCTTTGGGAGGCCGAGGTGAGTGGATTGCCTGAGCCCGCAGGTTCAAGACCCACCTGG